GTGGTAAAGTTGTAGGTATTGATATTGTTAAGTGGAGAAATATTAAAATATGTTTATGGTTTGCTTTTGGAGCAGCTGTGCAACTTATTTAACATGTGCATGAAGACTGCATCTGGGCCTTATGATTGGAAGAATGCTGTTATTCTTCCCCATACAAAGGAAAAGTTCCAAGAATGAATGCAAATTCTATAGGAGGATTAGTTTGGTAGGCCAGCCTGGGAAGATACTGGTCAGAATTGTGATTGCAGGAGCATCTGAGGTAACAGTCAATAAAATTTGGGAAGTACAGTGTGGCTATAAGCCAGGTGAAGAATGTGCAGTCCTGGTTTTCATTCTTCAGCAGGATACTGAAAGTTTATGAATGGAGGAAAGCTTATTGCATGTTTGTTGATTTAGAGGCTATATAACAGAAGTTAGTGGGCTTGAATATTTTACAGGAATATGGAACCAGAAATTTCCTTTCCATCATATCAAAGGCTTTTTCCACATCCAAGGAGACCAGCAATGCAGATTTCTGTTTTTTCAAGTGTGTCCAGAATATCTGTTAATAATCTAATTTTATCAGACACTTGTAAACCTTTTATAAAACCAGAATGTTCAGGATAGATAAATGAAGATAGAATCATCTATGATACCAATATTTTGGCATCAAAGTTGCCAGGGAAATTGAGTGATTATGTGCACGTTCAGCAAGGTCTTTACTGCCTTTCAAAATCAGTTATATAGGCCTCAGACCAATTTACTGAGCAATGAGCTGTCAGAAAAATGGCAGGATGTAAATGCAGTAAAGAAATACATTATATATCCCATAATGTCCAAAACAGTTACTGATATTAAGTTTCTGTTAAATTTTTAGATTTTAAGCTTGAAAGGGCCTAGTAGTGTATTGGAGGTGGTTCTCGTCACTAATTCTTAAGAGTGTTCTGAAACATGTACATATTTTCACATACTTATGCACGTACTCTGAGCTGTTGAAGGATTTAATGAATGACAGTAAGCAAAAAGGGCTATAAAATCATAAATCAGTGTGGTCAGGAGCAAGAATTTGTATCTTTTGATATAGATGAGGCATCCATTTAATTTCCATTTAAATGGAAGATTAATAAGAATGGGTTCAGGAATCAAACTAGAGGTGAGGCACTAAAGTAACCAAACTGCCAGAAATTTAAACAACTCTTCCATTTCCCCCCCCTTTTTTTTATCTGCACTCAGTCGTTACCGACTCTGCAGTGACTGCTTTTGGATGAGTCCTTGCAGTTTTCAAGGCAAGGTGTTTTGGAAGTGGTTTGCCAGTGCCTCCTTCCTAGAGCAGAGCCCAGCTGGCAAGCACAGGAGACGGGGTTTCCGTTGCTTCGCACCTTTTTCGGGCGTGCGCAGCTTCCGCGCTACCGGCAACTGCTCCTGACTCCTTTTGCAAGGCACTGCCAGCATTTTTCCTCCCACCAGAGTGAGAGTACCCATTTATCTACTCACGTAAGTTTTCGAACTGTTAGGTTGACAGGAACTGGGGGAGGAAGCAGGAGCTTACTCTGCTGCGCGAAGGCTGGGCTCGTCCATTTCCCTTTGCAATCCTTGAACTCAGAAATACCTACAATTATGAACATTGTAGGATGAGTACCGTGTTAGTCAACGGTTAGCCAAAAATTTGGGTAACAAATTATATTAAAAGGCATATCTTTCCGTGAGATAACGCTCACTTCATCAGATGCACCTCATGAAAGCTTATGCCTTTTAATAAAATGTGTTAGTCAAAAAAGATGCTACCAGTCTCCTCCTAATGTTTGGCTGCAATTATGGAAAGTCCACCCGCTGTAATACAATATACAGGTTGACCAAGGATTTCACAGGCCTGCTAGAGTTGTGTGTGTGTGTGGTTTTTTTTTAGAATTGGACAGAGACCCTTTAAATCCAAGCTCTACCTTTGAGAAACTAGAGCATGTTGTGTAGTGGTTAAGGTGTTGGAGTAGAACAAGAAAAACCCATGTTCAAATCCGTCATCCTCCTTGGATGCTCCCTGAAAGTAACCCACCAAATCATTGTTATGCAGATTATAACATATAAGAAGTTATTTTGTTTTCTACTCCCATGGGAAAGGTCAACTAAATTTCTCCAGTCTATTATTGAAGCACAGCTACAAGTTTTTTCCTTATCAGTTTGCCTGACCACCATTTTAACTTCACAGTTAACTGTCTGTATTATTGCTCTATTTGGCCTGACTCCAGTTAGAAAAGGATACCTTTTCCAATAATGTTCATTGTAAGACATTTGGATTTTTTTTTTTAACCCCAACATTTATTTTGAGATTAATGCTGAATAGGGCATACAAAGATGGAGTATATATTAAAACAAATCTTGGAGAATTAGTAGATGGCTTCTTTATACAATTATACAATTATACAAACATTTACAATATATTTGAAACTCATTTTTAAAACCCTCAGAGATCTTGTCCTTGAACACTTTTATTATATGCACCTTATTTTAGCTAACATTTAGGAGATAAATTATTCCAAAATTTAAATGCTTTCTTTCCTAAAGAGTGAAGTTATATATTTTATTAGGAGTAGATCCAAAGAGATGGGTGAAGCTTCAGTACATATTCTAGTATAATTTTTGTTGAAAGTTGAGCATCCAAGTATTAGAGTTCATTAAAAAGTACAACTTTCTGGAATTTTGACATTGTTGGCATTCTTCCTCTTTTTTAGAAAGAGCATTCTGTTCTTCACAGAAAGCATCAATTTAAATAAAAACTGATGTTCTAATTACAATATTTGAGAGTATTTTGGTCTAAACGAAGAAATAAGAAAGATACATTTGTGATATTTTTAAAAGCAACTGGTTTCGCCCACATTAATGGCACAGAGTATATAAGAAAGAGCAGTGCCCTATATGGTCTACAGGGTCTGATAATACTGTTCCAACAAGATCAAGATTATACTTTATTATGGCCCTTAGCCAGCAAACCCAGGGTTTGATAATATTGTCCCAACATTTTATTACTTAAATATACAGTAGCAATTGGTTGTTAGAAAAATCCAGCAGTGCATTAATCCTAGACATGCAAAACATTTTTCAAATATTTTCTACCTTCTGCCCCCCTTCCCTCCATTATGGGTTATTTTGTTCAGCAAAATTTGATAACTGAGTTGTGACTAAATAGCCAGTCATTTATTATTCACTGCACTTAGTGGTAGCACTGTTATGAAGAAAAATTACAGCAGATTTAGTCTAGATTAAAAGAATGGGAGGACCCAAGATAGTGGTGTACAAATTTATGCATACTGTGGAGAAAGAGGAGAGGGGAGCTTTTTCTCATTCTTTCATTATACTAGATCTTGAGATCGTGCAGTGAAGCTGAACTGTGGGAGATTCTGGACAGATAAAAGAGAGTAAGTACTTCATGTGGTTAAACCATTGGATTTATTGGAATTCAAAGATCATTGTGGTAAGGGCTATTAACACAGATTACTTTAAGACAGGTTAGAAGTCATGGAAGATAAATAATGAAGCTTTTGTGCTAATTCTAGGATCAGAGACAATATATTTCTGAATACAGGTGGTCCTCGACTTATGACCATTTGTTCAGCAACTGTTTGAAGTTATGATGGCACTGAAAAAGGTGACTTATGACCAGTCCTCGCACTTACAACTGTTGCAGCATCTCCACAGTGACATGATCAAAATTCAAGTGCTTGGCAACTGGCATGTATATATGACAGTTGCAGTGTCCCAGGGTCATGTGATCGCCATTTGCAACCTTTCCGGCTGGCTTCCGACAAGCAAAATCAGTGGGGAACTCCTTGATTCACTTAATGACCATGTGATTCGCTTAACAACCACCACAAAAATGTCAAAAAATCAGGTGTGGTCATGTGATGCCTCGCTTAACAACCGTACCGCTTAATGTTGAATATTCCGGTCCCTATTGTGATCGTAAGTCAAGGACTACCTGTACCAATTATTAGCTGGCAACTGTAAGAGTACATTTGTGTCATATCCTACTCATGGATAATCATTGGCATCTGGATTGGCCAAAATAGGAAACAGGATGCATGACTAGATAGGTTATTAATCTAATCTAATCTAATCTTGTAGTGTTATCATAACTCCTTTTTTTGATTATGGATTTGATAATTAACTGTAGAATTTGACCCTTTTTATATTCTTTTAAAGTGCAGATATGTTTTTAAGGAGCTGATCTTTATTTTTGATAGGAATTAAATTGCGAGTCATATGGTTTCTGAAATCACATTGAAATAATATCTTGTTCAGGCTTCAAATTTTGTAATCAGATAATGAAGTTTTTTTCTCGCTGGTAGAAACATTGCACTTTATCTGCTGTGTCAGTTATGGCAATTGTGAACTTGCCAGATCATTTAACTGCATTTGCTTACCCAAATCCATCCAAAGTATGTTTTCCTCCTCTTTTTCTTGCCATGTCAGCAACTTCACCACAAATGACTTTACTACTCTGCTTGTTGTGTAAATCTTCTCCTTCACTGAACTTAATTGCACTTTTGCTATTACTTCATTCCAACATGAGTTAACCAGCTATGAAGCTGTCACTGAGTTGCAAGTCCATGTAATCCTTTTAGCAGTCTTCTGGGAAGTGACCCTCATCATCAGTAAGACAGAGCAAATCAAATTTTATTTTGGTCACTGAACATATTTACAGAATGTATCAAATAAATATCAATAACAATGAATAATATAAGCAAACTTCAGATATGCAGATGTTGATCTCACTACTGACCAATACCTATTGAGAGTGAAATGCACTTAAGAGAAACTTGGCAAGTCTCAAAGTAATTTCATTATATATAAAAATATATCAGATTGTCCTTTGTATTTTGTTAAAACATGTTTGCCCTTCCATTCCTTCTCTCTGTTTTGAGAAACTGTGCTAGAATTTCAAAGCATTTTAGATGTATGAACAATAAACTTACCATTTGCAGTTATTTTCCAAGTATAATTTCTCTCTCATTCTTTGTTATTTGCAGGTTTTTCAGGACCTTGGTACAATGGTGTTATCCAGTGCTTTTAAAGGATACAATATTTGTCTTTTTGCGTATGGACAGACAGGTTCAGGAAAAACATATACCATGATGGGAACTCCAGTGAGTTATATCCTTGATTATGTGCTTTGCTTTACTTTTTTAAAAAAAATCTGTTTAACCTCCAAGATCACCACATGAAGGATTTAGTTGTTTTTTAAATATTGATAACTTAATTGTTTGCATAATGTAACAGATGTAACAGTAGTTTCCTATTTCCTATTAGAATATTACTTTTAATACTATTTTACTTTATTTTATTTTGAAAATCGTAACCTGGGACATTATTTTGTGCTATTCCCTCTGCTGACATGCAGCTTCCTGTGTGTTTGCTCAGCATTAACTCAACAGTGTAGCTGAAATAGAATCCATGTTCTTCCCTGCCTCCCATGCAGTCAGTTTTAGTCAGCCTTTAAAGGCATCCTTGCCTTTGCCATCTGGATCTCTGGTCAAAATACCCCAATGGACATTACTGACAGTGCATCATATTTATTCTTGCTCATTTGAACCTTTATAAAAAATAAATAACTTGATTACAGAAGATTTTGTAATTATCCAGTTGACCGATTTGTATGATTTTTTAGTCATTATCATGTATTACCTGGCATCTAAGAAGCTACATAAATGAGAATGTGTTCTTGCAACAGGACTTAATTACTTCTCTCCATTGCAGTACAATAGGGATTTCCAGAAGAGTTTAACATGTAATGTAGGAAGGCTGCAATAAGAAGTAGGAATGAGCAGAAAATGGGCAGAAGGAGCTTTCAAAACCTGCTCACCTAAGTGAACTTTTTCTTTGATTCCTCCCATATACATTTATCTTCTTAGGAGAAGCTTGAAGATGGGAGACAAAGGCAACTGGAGTGGGGAGGAGACTGCTATGCAACTAAACTACTGTTAGGCATAAAACCTATTATTTATCCTTATTTTCTTAACAGGTTTTTAGTATATATTAAAACAGCTCTCAGCTTTCATAGGTTCTAGAACTGGAACAGATGTTTCATTGACAGAACAACAGTTTACCTAAAGCAGTACAGATTTTATTCTCATAATCATACTTTTTTAGCTTTTAGTCTTACAATCAGACGTTACCATGGAGGTCTTACCATTGCATAAATACTAG